GCCAGTTTGTAAATTTACATTTGTCAATTTTCTTGCAAATTTCCACAAGCGGGTCACCATACGGTAAATCACTGGTTCTGTTTCGACAAAAATCCGTGTCCAGCACTGGTGATAGTGAGGCGGGACCTCTGCCTGCCTCCCATCCCTCTCACCACAAGACACACAAACACAGATCGGCAGAGGTAATGGTAAAATAAATGTATTGCAGGATGTTGCAACACGTGCAGGTCTGCAGCCGGGGGCTTCGGGTAGGTCAACTTTATCCCCAGTACAGACACCGGAGACCCCACCAGCTGCCTTCTACCCCGGCAGGCATCCCCCCTCCCGCCCTGCACTCTACCTTTCTCCCTTCCTCTGGCACTTCTTCAGATTGCTAATGGAAAAAAAAAATGACTCGATCGGAGAGACACTACGAGTCCTCGGCAGGTGGAGGCGCGGCAGGTTTCAGTCTCCTGGAGCTCGCGCGAACGTCCCCTCACACCTACCCAGCGCGACTGAGAGCTCTTCGAGGGGAAACTTACAAAGAACCCGGACCTCGGAGGCACTCTCCTGCGCCTGCGTGGGTCCGGGGCGCCACGTTTAGTTGGGTTTCCCCCATGATCGATACTGCCAACTCACCCTTACCTCGCTGATGATATATACCCACGAGTGTGGGCACTGGACAAGGGCCTTCTGGAATGCTGAAGATGTGATTGATGAAGGATACGCCCGCTGAAGGCATGAAGACAGGAGATCATGCAAGATGAGGTCACTGGTGGTCTCTTCCTTGTCGACTGATATGCTCGAGAAGCCAGGCCAAGGTAAACTTCGATCTGGGTAAGTTTCTCTCTCTCTGAAGTGCCCTTCGCCTCGATACAACTTATTTTCAAGCCATGAATATCCGCTGCTATTATAGTGTGAGCAAACCCGGATGCATCGTCTTTAAGGAGATTAAAGATCCATGACAATGAGACACTTCAGCGGCTGTTTGAACTAACAGGGAAAGCTTGCAGATGATTTTCACCGTCAGTATTATATGTAATTTGGAGATACAGCGAATGATGTTGTGTCTATAGAGAGCTGTCTACTCAACACTGGTACGGTCTTATCATTATCATAAATATTTTATTAGTGAAAGTTAAGACACATATGCAACATCTGGATATCTTTATTGTAGACGTTTCGCCATCCAGTGGCTTTATCAATACATATTCTAGGACATAACTAGAAGACAGTAGAACTATACACAAAAGATAAGGTAATCAGTCCCTCAGCCTTGGAGTTGGTGTAAAGAGCACCGTGATTGTAAAGATTCTGGATCACAGGCAAGGAGGCTGGCGCTTATATAGGCGCCAGTGGATAGGGACATGTAGCAGACGAAGGCATAGTCACTGGTAGGCGGGATTCCCCACTGGGGAATCCAGATACCCAGATGTTGCACATGTGTCTCAACTTTCATCTTGTCGTTATTGTATACCTGTCTTGAACATATTTTATTAGTGTTAGTATTAATTATTAGAGTAGGTTAGATTGTTCGGTTAAGTTAGGTTAAATTTGGATTGGGTCAGGTTGTAAACTAAGAGCACCTGAGAACTTTGCATTCTGTAATGGAAATAATTTAAAAAATTTAAGTAATGGCCCAAGAAAGAAAACAAATATATAATTTACCTCCACGGAGACTATCGAAGTAAGAACGAAATTGTTTTAAAAAATAATCTTTTGGGAAAATGGTGAGCAGAAAAGAAGAAATAGAAATGAAAAGGAGAGCATCAAAATGGAATAAATAATACACCTTTGGATGGAGTAAGAAAGTAACCAGTAATGTATGGACTATATAACATACGAGAGAGGTTTTCCAACGTAGCCATGGGGGAAATCAGACTATATTATAAGAAGCACTGAGAGAGAGATAACACAAGATATCAAAAGGTGTCTCACGTCTTTCATATCATATATCAGAAGTAATATAAAGATGAAAGCCACCGCGGGATCACTTGAGAAATGAAAACGAGGAAGTTATAAGAGATTAAAACACTGTGGGCACCAAAAATGATAACTTTACATCAGTATTCAACAAAAGACGCTCCTTCCCATTATAAAAAGCAACATCGTCAAATGTTTATAGATTCTTTTTAAAACTGAGTGTATTAGAAGAAGAATTATCTAGGTATATTTAAGAAAAATTACAAATGTTTGTGTCGGGAAATTTATGCATTTTCTTCATTGTTCACTGATGACAAAGAGACACGATACAGAGGAAAGATTCTCGTTGCAAAACACTGAACCTAACTCCCCCTTCCCTGGACCAAACCTGATGACTTTCCGTTCCACTGGCGCTGTATATTCCCCTGTGGGTTTGCCGCGTCTCCATGAATGTATAAAAAAATAACCCGGATACATCTATTCACAGATTGGACGAAGCAGATCAAGGTTGTCGTCTTGCAGAATGGGTATTAAATTGTCTGGACAGTTTCTAAGAATTATGAGCGAAATTTAGGGAATCTGACGTTAGAGAATAATTATTCTAGATATTACAAGACTGATCTTGTTAGGAATTTGTGTGGTAAAGCCTGGCTGTCCAAATTTATGAAAAATAAAATTCCTGACTTGCCAATTTTCATCTAATTAGCAAAAAATTGTCCAAAATATTATTTTGTTTTTTAAATAAATTATTTTCAGGTAAAATATGAATTAATAAATTAATTATCACACATTTTCTTAAAAATTTAAACATTTATTTTTGATATCAGCTTAATACGCATAATGAATAGGATTTTTTATGGGGGGGGGGAACCAAACCCGTAAGAGCCATACAGCGAGAACAGAAACAGAGGAAATCAGGTGCGATCCCTGGAGGAGGAGGGAAAGTCTAATTCCTTGAGTCAAGAGCCTTTATTTTAGGGATCCAGCTAAAAAAAATAAAGACATCTCACTCTGATAGTTTCTAAATCTCCACAAACGATATCATATAATGTTATCTTCTCTACACGTGTGTAATATAACCTCCAGTTGTATTATATACAACACACAACCTCCAGTTGCATTTTCTAAAAGTACTGTCACTGAGACAGTCTTGCACATAGGAGTCTGCAAGGATTTTGTCTTGTTTATGGTGAAGGGCTCTTCATCCAGGAATTGGAACTAATCTCCCCTTCTTTGAATTCATCATCCTTGCCTCCCAAGCACTATGTGATCCCTACGAGCTTAGTTCTTTCATGTGAACTGAATGACTTTATGCATTGGGCAAGGAGGAGTAGCATCTGCTAGGAGTAAGGAAGAGCCAAAGGTGATGGGTGGGAAGAGTGCGTGAAATGATATGACAGATGTTATTAAGAGTAAACTGCTTTTCTGTAGTGTATTTGTTCAGTATAGCAATGAAACTACGAAACAAGTGGCATTGAAACATTTACCAAACTGCGGCAGGCCAGGATTCGACCCCACGACACATTTTCCTGCCTCAAGAGACAACACAAAGTACGTGTCACCTTATCCACTCCGCCATCGATCCTACTAACAACATGAAACTAGCGAACTTGTCTTGTTTCATGTTGCGAGGACACTCGTGGCAGTGAATGCTCAAGGAGGAGGCTGAAATTAATCCTTGAGCATCCACTGCCACGAGTGTCCTCGCAACATAAAACAAGACTAGTTCGCTAGTCTCATGTTATTTGTAAGATCGATGGCGGAGTGGATAGGGTGACACATACGTTGTGTTGTCTCTTGGGGCAGGAAAATGTGTCGTGGGGTTGAATCTTGGCCTGCCACAGTTTGGTAATTGTTCAGTATATATGCCCAAAAGAATGGAAGGTAAGTAAGGGTTTGCAGAGAGTATGCATAGTTACTTTATAGAATGGAAAACAGAATAATAGTTCCAGAATTATAGGGAAATCAGCCTGTTGAGTATACCTATTAATGTGTATCTAGTATTATTACAGCAAGATTTAGAGGTGAGACAGAAAGTAGGATTGCGGAGGAGCAAGAAGCATTTAGGAAAAAGTACGGTATATGTAGATCAAGTAGTTATATTAATATATATAAATAAAGAATACTTAGATAAGGGTAAGAAACCGATAAAGCAGATAATGAAGCAATGTGGCAAATGCATGGAATAGGTAGTAGGCTAGTTAAAGCATAAGTTTTATAGGTAGTGAGGCTCGAGTTAGAGTAGGTGGAAAAGATGGGTATATTTTCTAGTAAAAATAGACCTTAAACAAGGGTGTTTAATATATTTATAGATGGGGATGTAAAAGAAGTGGATGCGATGGTGTCGGGAAGATACGTGGGATAAAAAGAGAATGAATCTGATATGAAGTGGGAGTTGCCACAGCTGCTCTTTGATGAAGAGACGCTTCTTTTATTGTAGATTCTGAATAGAGGTTGTGAAAGTCTTTGGAGGAATTTTGGAAAGTTCGTAAAAGAAGGAAATTGAAAGCGTACATGAAGAGTAAGGTGTTAGATGTAACAAAAAAAAATTAGGCTATGAAAAATTGATATCAAATTGGAGGGTGTTAGAGGAAGTGATGTAATGTGATTAGATATTTGGAGTGAATGTGTGGGCATAGTCTAGGATTGTGAGACCGAATTAGCTATTATTAACATATTAAATTGGAGTTATTGTATAATGATTCCTAACTATTAGTAATAATAGGCCTTAAGCACTAGAGTAGCATTCTCTCTAGTGATGCCTTTAATGGTAGTAGATGGTGTGCACACATCGCTGTTAGAGATCTTGCAGATATGTTTGACAACAAAGTTTTTTACGAAAGAATGATTATACTCTTTTCGATGGCGTTGGATCTGGGCGAATTGATGAACTGATGCATTGACAACGTGCCCAGAAAACGCTGTCTGCATTCCCTGATGAAATGTCGAAGGTAGTGTCATACATTAAATTTTTGCTGGAGGAAAGAGCACTCTTTTTCACTGAATTCATTTCTGCAGATGCGAGAGCTCTTAGAAAATATCCTAGTCACCCCATATTTGATCTTGGTGTAATGGTTTAAAAGTGAAAACTTACCTGATATAAAAATACTCTTTATTAGTGATGGAAAATCTTAACAACTTGGCCATGTTGGTTGGGCACTTTAAAGACTCCAATTTCAGGAATGCGACGGTCGAAAGGAAAGCCCATTGGGCGCTTGTCAGGATATTTCATACCATGAATACCGCAGTAACCATGAGTGCTGCCGTGGTTCTCAATGGTTAACTCATCGTGGACTGCATCATCTCCGCTGGTGACAATAACGTCGAGCCAGAAATCCAGACCTTCCTTAGTGCCCTTAGGCAGCAGCAGCCTCATGGGGTGACCACAACCACGAATTTCCTGATGGAGTAGCTGAGCGTCGTTAGCCACAGCCTCATCAGCGTCCTCGAGAAGTTCAAAGAACGGCACACGATCAGGTATAGCTACTGATGACTGTGAAGACTTGCGCGTGATTACGTTATCTCCCGCATGAACTGCGAACATTGAGAAAAGACACGTTTGACGATTTTTTAACTCGTCTTGTACACAAATAAATATTTTTTTTATTAAAACCCTTTATGCAAGTTATGGACTTTATTTTTAGAAGAATCATCTAAGTAGAGAGAAGCAGTTATTAATATTAGATAATAGTATATATTGCCATACACGGCAAGAACTCACCCTTAGTCCAGAAGGTGTCGAGCAAGATGGCTCCCCAGCGAGACTCGTCTATGTCAAGGACGATGTTGTTCTCGTCACGCTTGGGAGTTATGTAGATGCGAACAGTGACTTCATCGTCGTGTTTAGCTTGGACGTGAATGTTGTAAGTGAATGGTTCGTGGTTCAGACGTGATATAGTGGCTGTGACCGAAACGTAACTGAAGCTCTCTGGTGTGTCTAAAGCATTACTCACGTCAAACACAAAATCTTCGAAGTAGGTGGAGAGTTTACTGACCTTGACGTTAGTGATATTCACATTACTGTAGAGTAACTCTTGCTCGGTGTAAGGTGGCAACTTGTCCTTGTGTTCCTTGAAAATTCCATTTATATATTTATGGAGACGGAAAAACGCTGGGTCGCGAGTGGCAGTCTCAAAGTGTTCCATTATTCCTGGAGGCATACCAAACTTCCGTTTAGGATCAGCCTGTGCACCCAAGACGCGGTGAGCCTGGTTATGTAGAGAGCCATAGTATGCAGCATTGGGGCTATATGCTGAAGACTCAATGATATCACCTAAGATGTCAATGCCATGTTCGTTGTTGATGTCAGTGTGAGAGCCATTGATATTAATGATATAACCCAGAGCAATGGCATCTCGTATTCGACTTTCTAATAACTTTATGTCACGAGCACAGGCCACACCTTCTACATCTTCAAATTCTTTGTTGTCTGGGCGAGTGGGGAACTCTCCGCCATATTTGTAAGAGGTGTGAGCAGCAAACCCATCTTTAATTGGGCTGTCCCAGTAGAGTTCGTCTACTGGTGGTAGGTAGTTAGAAAGACGCTCGGCATCGTATCTAGCAACCAGCTGGTGGTGAGCCCAGAAGAAGAGCTCTCCTTTACGGTCTATCTTATCTCTGTTCCACCAGAAGGGAAAATCTAAATGCCAGTGAACATGGTGAGAGTTGATGCCAATGTCCTCACCGAAGTAAGCCACACGCTGTTCGGTGTTTCTCTTGCTTCCAGTAAAGTTCATCCTGAAGTTACCTGGCGTCTGTGTCATCAAAGCAGTATAAGCTTTGTTGATAATCTCTGAGTTTGTGAATAAATGAGGAGTGATCTCGTAAAGAGGTGGTAAGACGATATACTGGCCTATGTCTGAGTGGGTCACTGCCGCATAAAGAGCATAAACAAACTCCCCTTCATTCATATGCTCACGGAAGTAAGCAGCGTTGTTTCTAAATACTTCAAAATCTGTGCACTGCATGAAGACTTCGAAAAGCCACAGGGCTTCCGTACGCTGGCGGTCATTGAAGAGAGAGAACCAGTGATGTTGCTTTAGCAAGCGGTGATTCTCCAACTCACCCATTAGCCACTCTACGGCTGCACCTCCATCGCTACAGAGATCCATGTGTTCTCTTGGGTTCCATGTTTCTGACATCTCCTTGAGGTCATTGAAACTTGACTTGATGGGGCTAGTGATCTTGTATAATAGGTGGTTGATGTCCTGTTGTTTGTGGGCAACGTTTATGTCAGCCGAAACAGTAACTACCAGAAGCGCTGTTACAACTACCACCCACCGCATCTTAGCTACTGATAAGGTAGAGCCTTCATAGCCGTGTCTTAAATATCAGATAACGAGTTCACCTATCGCTATTCCCCGCCCACACATTATTGTCTGATAATACTCTCTTACATATGCTCTTTGTCTTCATTACCTTTATTGGTAAGTGTTTCTTCTCTTAGATTTCTGAATTACTCAATTTCTGTTCTCTATTTTAGTTATGAATGAGTGCAAATTATTTATAAATATATTGAATGCACATATGGAAATTGACTGCTTATGTTTTTTTACCTGGTTATGTAATGACTCATTCCATCAATTTATTACATATTTTTCCCAAGCAATTTTTAAATGATGTTTGTAGTTTTAAAGAGAATATATTTTAAATCAATTTATAAACCTCTGTTAAGTTGGTGTTCTTCATGTGTTTGTTCAGTATTTGTTCTTGACATGTGTCACTCAGCTTCAAGAAAGCTCTCAAGGCTCACCCCCTGTCTGTCTCTTAGTGGGTACAATTTAAGGCCCACACCCACCTCTTCAAGGTTATCAATAGCCCTGCTCCCTATATCCCCCCTCCTTCCCCTCTCTACAACTATAACCTTGGCCCCTTCCCCGTGATGGTGGGGAGGGGAATTAGAGTTGGCTATCTAGTTGGAAGGGGAGGTAGGAGACTTATTTTGAAACAGAGTTATTTTTATTACTGTTTTTATTTGTTTTTTGGAGGGGACTAGGGAATTTTTACGGGTGGCCGAGGCGCCACCACCACAGAATGGGCAAGTAAAGTTCTGCAAAGATCTCTACTGTTTCTGGTATATGTGAATAAGATTATCGGACTGATACCTGTAAAATTAATGAGGGGAAACCGATGAGAATATGTAAAGGCCACAAACATACCTGGACAAACTGCAAGATTGGTCAGTCATGTGGCTACTTGAATTCAACTCCACAGCAAATGCAAGGATATGAAAACTGGGAAACCAGCAAGAAGACTGGACATTGAGTATTGACTCGGGAAACAGACACTGCAAACTTCTTCACTCTGTTAGAAAAATCTAAAGATGAGCATAGTGATGAGGATATCGCCAGAGCCACACGTCAACTGAAGAAAAACTCGGTAGTCAATGCTTGTATGGCAAATCTAAAAGCAGGCTTAAAGACTCTCAGTATGCTGCACCAGCATATAACCGTCAGAGGTGAAGGAAAAAAATGAGATATGTAACGAGACTCATCTCAGAGCTAAAAGAAATGAGTTGTGAGAAGAGGTTAAACCTGACGACATAAGACGATAGAAGAACGCGCGAAGGCATAATAACAACATACAAAATACTCAGAGTATTTGATAGGATGGGCAGGGGAAAATTGTTCGAGAGGCAGGAAATGAGCACACGAGGGCACAGTTGGAATATGAAGACACAGATGAATCACAGGGATGTCAGGAAGTATTTCTTCAGCCTTAGGGTGATCTGGAAGCGCAATTACCTGGGCGAAAAGGTAGAGGAAGCAGGTTCCATACATACTTGAATTTTTTACAGGGTCATCGAGACTAGGAGGATACAAATTCGGTAAGCGGCAAACTAAGATGCCGGGCCAGGAGCTGAGACTTGACCCTTGCCAGTGACTACACAAACACATACAAAGTTGTTTCTTCGCAGAAGAATGGAAGAAATGAGGGAAGGGTCAACCAGAGCTGTATAAACCTTGGTAATAGATACCGACAAATTGATCACTTTCGAAGTGACCAAGGTCCCAGGACCGAAACGTTTTCTAATAAATATGTCTTAGTGTTGACTCACGTATCTTTTTAAACGCATCATAGCACCCGAGATTCATCAGAGCTACAAGTGAAAGACTCGGTGATACCGCTAGTGATACCATAACTACTTTCGCTTTTGATGTTAATGACTGCATCAAGAAATCACTTCTGAATTCTACAAGGCCACATCTACATCTTCGAATTTCCTCTAATCATGACGAGCATAAAGCTCTCCCAGTATTTATTATGGAGGGGTCAAGTCATCTTTAATGGGAGAGTCAAGGTAGAGTTTGTCTACTGGCGACAAATCGCTAGAAAAGCGCTAGGCATCCTGTCTCACCCGTCGTATTACATTTTAGTGATCGCCAGAAAACACGTGCTCTAGAATTTACAATACATCCAGCGCTTTCAAACGAGTAAGTCAACGCAAATATGGGTTAATACACGTTAATTTAACGTAACCGAAAGCAGCAAATAGCAAAATTTCTGAAAAAAATTCGATCGCGCAAGAAATTATGCAAATATGGCAGTCAGGCGGTGGTGAGCCAAGAAGAGTTCTCTCTGGTGGTCAAGCTTGTCTCCTTTCCATCGGAAAAGGAAGATCAGATGCCAGTGGACGTGGGCAAACGCTGCTGGGGGTTCTGGATACAGGTACAGTTCACCTTGAAGTTGCCTGGTGTTTGCTTCATCTTAGCGGCTTGAACTCTGTCGATAACTTGAGTTTATTAGCCAACGAGGCGTAACCTAGGAGAGAGGTGGCAGGACCACTTTGTTATGTTTTACCATGTTCTCCCAGTTAGAATGTCCGGTTTCCCTCTAATTGCTTTGGAGTGCATCGTCTGTATATTTCCAATGGAGCCAACTGTGAGGCGTTTGTTATTCTCTGGTAGGCTGAGTTTGTTGGTTTACGTGTATTTACCTATACTTACGAAAAAATAACCAACAATAGCGAATTCGGAAAAAATAAAACGGTGGCGTATGTCTGGCAGCCTTTCCTCCCGAACACGAGATGTTGGAGGTTGGACTGTGTGTTAAGTCAGACTGAATCACAGCCGTAACAGCAGGAACAAACTCACTATTGTTAAAACACACACTGATGTTCGTTGTGTTGTTCTTGGAAGTGAGAAAGTTTTTGTTGCGCTACAAAACATCCACGTAAGAGAGCTTTCTCAAGCTGACGGGACCTGAGGAAGGAGAACCAACGTGGTTCTCGAGCAAGCGGGGATCATCCAGCTCATACATTAGCTGCTTTACGGCTGTGCCTTCATCCGTGCTTTGATCAATGTAATCCTTGGCTTCCGTGACTCTGTTGCCTCCATGAGGTCGATGAAGCTTTATTTCATGTGACTGGTAATCTCGTAGAGTGGGTGGTTGATGGCCAGCTACATTGGCCACCAGGAGTAGAGCATCAACCACCACTTCCTGCATGACAGCCTTGTTATTGGTTTATTCATCGGGGGAAGAAAACTGTTTTAAGATAGCCCATTCAATGATATTACTGTGGCTAGAGCTCGGTCAAAAAGTAGTTGCTGGTGGGTGGTGACTTTAATGACTGCAGATATTGGTATAAAATGTGAGAAGTCATCGACACAGTGGTATACACCAGCAGTCATGGACACAATGGTCTGTACCAGCAGTCATGGACACAGTAATCTGTACCAGAAGTCATGGACACAGTGGTTTGTACCAGAAGTCATGGACACAGTAATCTGTACCAGAAGTCATGGACACAGTGGTCTGTACTAGCGTCATAGACACAGTGGTTTGTACCAGCAGTCATGGACACAATGGGCTGTACCAGCAGCCACAGCTGGCCTACTGATGCTGTGCTTAGCGTGTAGAGAGCAGAGAAAGGGGCTAGCTGCGAATGTGACGGAGGGCTCGTAGTTGACTGTTATATACCAGACAGTGATGTGACCAGTCGGTCCCTCCTCCATCCACCTCCTTTACATTATTATCAGATAGGACACACTTGGGAAAACAAGCTTATCGCGTGTTCTCTCACATTCCTGGTGGTGCATCATTATTTCATAATTTCATTGATTTATATTATACATACATATATATATATATATATATATATATATATATATATATATATATATATATATATATATATATATATATATATATATGTCGTGCCGAATAGGCAGAACTTGCGATCTTGGCTTAAATAGCAACGTTCATCTTGCTATATAGGACAAGTGAAAATTTGTGTATGCAATAATTTCGCCAAAATCATTCTAAACCTAACGAAAAAAATATATTTGATTGTGTTTGTTTAGTATTAAATTACTGTAAACGTGTTTAAAATATATTTAGTTCGGTTAGGCTAAAATAAATTGCGCTTGTTATAATAAGGTTAGGTAAGTTTTCTAAGTTCTTTTTGGTGCAAAATTATAATTTTTTACATGAACATTAATGAAAAAAATATATCTTTAAACGTATAAGAGAAAAGTTTAGAAAGGACTTAATTATAAATGAGTTCTTGCTAATTGACCAGTTTTGCATATTCGGCACGACATATATATATATATATATATATATATATATATATATATATATATATATATATATATATATATAATATATATATATATATATATATATATATATATATATATATATATATATATATATATTATATATATATATATATATATGTCGTGCCGAATAGGCAGAACTTGCGATCTTGGCTTAAATAGCAACGCTCATCTTGCCATATAGGACAAGTGAAAATTTGTGTATGCAATAATTTTGCCAAAATCATTCTGAACCTAACGAAAAAAATATATTTCAATGTGTTTGTTTAGTATTAAATTATTGTAAACAAATCTAAAATATATTTAGTTGGGTTAGGCTAAAATAAATTGTTCTTGTTATAACAAGGTTAGGTAAGTTTTCTAAGATTCTTTTGTAGCAAAATTAAAATTTTTTACATTAACATTAATGAAAAATATATATCTTTAAACGTATACGAGAAAATTTTAGAAAGGACTTAATTTTAAATGAGTTCTTGCTAATTGACCAGTTTTACATATTCGGCACGTTATATATATATATATATATATATATATATATATATATATATATATATATATATATATATATATATATATATATATTATATATATATATATATATATATATATATATATATATATATATATATATATATATATATATGATTGTATCAATGTACACACTTATTATATACATTCCTCACCTGTGATAGGTGTTAAGAGTCAGTCATCTTTGGTAGCTCGACATTAGGACTTTTTTTGTCTGATGACCACCAGTTCAGCAGGCTGTTGCTGCCTCAAGCTCGCAAGCCACATCACATCCTCCATGATCTATCACATATTGCAGGCTCTTGTTCAGTTTCCTCTTGGAGAATTATGTCTACTTTTTCAGTATTAATATATTTGGTGGCAGAATGCCGATTCTTGGTTTTTCAGATGTTGGCACTATTTTATTATTGACAGCATATAATATCGACAAGTTTATGAATAAGACACTTGGGTATCTCTGTTTCCGAAGCATCTCGAGTGCATGACAGATTTCTTCAGACGAATACAACAGTAGAGACAGTAGAAGTTGTTTTGAGGTGAGTAGTCTGACAGAGTTGCTAGGTGGTCTTGCAAATGGCTCATTGCTTTTCACTGGGTTTATTCCATGCTTCCTCTC